GGAAGGAGGACAAAATACTGATACATTCATTGACTCAACAACTGAGTGTCAAAATAGTTCCTGTTTATCAACCTGATACCACAATGGGCGCTACAGGACTCTGGTTTTTACTTTGTTGCTTTCATGTATTCAGTAAAACAGTGCATGAAAGCAATAGAAATCATACATCTGTCAAACAGATGCTCAAAAGTCAGTCAGCTGAATTAACATTCTTAAAGCTGAAAAGAGAGACTAATATTAATGTGGCGAATCTCATGAGGGTAAGTGCAAAGATCTGTACTTCTTTGTTATTTTAAAATAACAACTGTGTAAGTGAAATAAGTGGGCCCTAGAGCCATAGCTAGCTTATCCATAGTAAATATGTATAAAAATCACATAAATGTTAGCGTGGCCTGGCTACCCAAAACGTGATTCCATCCTAGCACAGAATTTATTTCCTGAACTCTGTGCTAATCAGACCAAATCACTTGTGGTATCATGTTCAGTGAGGTCAGTTATACTTGAATGACATTGGCAAATTAGAGTCTATCAAGAGAAAGGGCAGCATAGTTCACTAGTGAGTGTGAAATTACATCAAATGAGGAACAACGAAGAATAGGGATGATGAACCCGAGGAAGAGAAGGTTGCAAGTGCACGCTGCTGTCTGCAGGCATTTAAGAGCCGTCCTGTGGGAGGACACATACACTGTTGTTGAAGGGCAAGTCGTTCCAATAACAGGAAGTTATAGGGAGCCAGAGTTCCACTTTTAATAGAGACACAACCAAGGACCATACTTCTTGGGAGGTTACAAGCTCCATGCCACTAGTACTGCTTAAGCAAAAGTCAGATAATGACACTGAAGAGACATTTTATCTGGGAGAAATTCTTAAACTGGGTGGGTGGGTGAATTCTACAACTCTTACATTCACCTCCAATATTGTCATCATATTCCCAGAAAGGAGAAAAATAAAGAAGGACACCTGTTTGTTGCCATCTCTCTCTCTTCCTCTCATTTTTAAAATAGTGTACAGTATGGAGCCCTACCTGAGGAGGGCTTGCTGAGCTGACTACCAGTGACCCAGAGCTTCAGAAGACTTGGAGAATAGTAGGCACTCCTATGGCTTAGAAGGGTGAAGTAAAGGTGGTAATGGGTGCACACAGCCTTGACAAGTGGGCCAGACTTCATCTCAGAGCTGTACCCCGGTAGCAGAACAAAGGGGGCCAGGCATGTTCATGCTTGCCCGAGTCAATTTCTGTTAGGGCAAAGGAGGTTCCACCCAGTATTGATTCAAACTACTACTCATTCTGATACTCCCACTTAACAGAGTGATTAGCCTATGTCACTGCATGTTTAACAGTCTTCCTGTGAGAACCACTGTTTTCCTTTAATATTAACAATTGTTAATTTCCTAGAACTCAGTGAGGTGGCCATCTGCCTCTGCCCTTTGAAAGGCTTTGCTAGCTTCCAATGATTCTTTCCAAGACAGTCCATGAAATGGATTTCGGATAATGTACAACCCCGTAGCTGAGGCTTAATGGGTCTTAAATAGCTGCTGCCTCCCGAAGAACCACTTTTAAACACTGATTGAGTTTAACTGGATAAATATTTTGGCCATATTTTTGATAAAAACATGTACCCACATAAAGAAATCAGATATAACCCTATATTCTATGCTTTTTATTGGTATATTATTCTTTGGCAACTTTCTGAGACATGATCAAATATAATAGTTTTAAAGGCCATGTGGAAATAGGGTATTGGCCGTGATCTCTTTTTTTTTTTTGAGACAGAGTCTCACTATGTTGCCCTGGGTAGAGTGCTGTGGCGTCACAGCTCACAACAACCTCAAACTCTTGAGCTTAAGTGATTCTCTTGCCTCAGCCTCCCAAGTAGCTGGGACTACAGGTGCCCACCACAATGCCTGGCAATTTTTTGGTTATAGTTGTCATTATATTTCAGTTGGCCCTGGCTAGGTTTAACCTGCCATCCTCGGTGTATGTGGCTGCCACTGTAACCACTGTGCTATGGGCTCCAAGCCTGACCATGATCTTTGTATAGGACAATTAGAAAAGTATACTGGATTGGAAGAATAGTTGACTTTGGACAAATAATGGGAAATTAATTTCTGTAAGCAGAGCAGGATTGTTTATTAGGCCCTGGAAAGTTGAATAAGGACTTTGTATTTGATTTAATAGAAAATTGGGAGTTTGGAAGCTGAAAAATGATGTAACAAAAATGTAAAGAAAATAAGCCCATCAGTGGCCCAGGGAAAGGGGTGGGATCAGAGTGAGCAAGAAGAAAGGCTTGCAGAGCTCTAGCACAGAGCAGCAGGCATGGCAAGGAAGAGATGAGTTTGAGCCATGGTGTGATGGAGACATGGACACTTTCTGGTGCCTGGTGGGAACAGGAGATGACCCATCCTGAGCCCTAGCTTCCCCACCAGTCATGTCTTCTTCCAGCTCAGGCCATATCACATGCCTGTCTCAGCTTCCAATCTCTCCTTGGACAAAATCTTGCTGAGCCCCCTTTTGTGGATAATTTTCTGACCTTTCATCAGATGTTCTTTCCCTCACCCAATTGGGAGCACAAGGTTCCACACAGGTATGAGGAGAGTCGCATCAAGGACACACAGGCACAGAGAAGAAACATCTATGCAGATCACAGGGAGCAGAAGAGGCTTTCGTCCCTCTCCACTGCTGTAGGTGACGGAAGGATTGAAATGAAGAGTGGATTCCCCTCATTGGCCTGGAGGAAGGAGCACAGCGTGGTGATAACCTCCAGTTCTCCAGGGGCAAGTGTAAGACACATGTCCAGTTCTGTTATATCTGGAATTGGACCTTCTGAGTCAAGCAGCGCTCTTTTCTCAAAGTATGATTTTTGGAAACCATATTTTTTTCTTTTTGCCAAAAAAAAAAGCGACTAAAGTTAAGCATCGCATCAAGTTTTCCAGGCACCTCTCCTAGTCTGTGCCCATCAGTGAAGGGCTTTGACTGCCAGGAACGAGGCCACAGAACTCATTAAAAAGTATCCGTGCCTGTCTCAGGCCCCTCAGGGAACCCCTTTCTTGTTTTCTCCGAACCACAGTCATGGTCGAAGGTAAAAAGCCAGTGTTTCCATGGCACAATTTGAGGGAAGGGCCCGCTCCCCATTCCGGGTACCAGCTATACCATGATGCTTGGAATTTCCTCATTACTCATTCCTTGGGTAAAGGCATTTTTTGAAAGCCCCTGTTAAAATGCAAATGCTAACTGGAAGGGTGAAATTCTTTTTGTTTTTATCCAGTAGGAGTTAAGTTCAAGTTAATTTATCAAAGTAGGAAATGGAGCTTAGAAAGGAATCCCATCCATGAATGGGGCAGGGTGGACAGGGAATAGGACACTTCCTAGTTTTGAGGTCTCAGGGGCTTGACCGGGAGATGGAAAGTGCTGAGGTCACACATTTCTTCTTCTACACACATTCACAATGGTACCATTTCCCAACCCCAGCCTGAGTGTCCTCCAATGTGCTGTTCAGAAGCAACTCCCCTTCAGAGGCTACAGAAATATTCTGACCTGGCCTGGCTGGGGAAGGCGGATTGTCAGCACTCACTTGGACTGTGGAAAACTGCCCGGGAATCTCCCCACCACCCTCATTGCTTGTTTCAGACATACTTTTACTCTAGTTCTAATTCCTTACAGCTTTAATCCCTTGGCCCAGAGACTCCTAACATCAACTCCCACCTCTCTGTGATTTTTGAAAGATGGTGTTTGATCCTTGATTTCTCTCCTAAAGAATCTGGCTTAGCTAGGCTTCTCAGCTATCATGTTTTCTCCCTCCTCCCTTAGCTTGAACTTTATAAAATCCAATCCTCGTCTCTACCCATGAAGGGACATATGAAATCCAGGGATAACAGAGTAACAAAAATATCAAATGCAATGAATCATTTGGCATAGTCACACAGAACCATTTCTGTACCTTCGAAGCACTGTTGCTACATAGTCATGTTTAATATGCTTATGTCACTAATATGATTTTCCCACTAGGCTAGAAACTTCACTTTACAACTTTTATGTTCCCTGCTGAAACATAGCAAGTACTTAATAAATATGTATATAAGTGTATTTGGAATACACACATAGAGATTCATAAAAGCTTCTATTACACAGGGGCTAGTTCACATAAATAGCATTAATGGTATCTGTAGTAGCAAACAGCAGACAGAATATAGACCTGCAAATCTGAGCACATAAATAGCCACACTTTAGTCCAGAGCCTTAGTCCCAAGATTGAGGTTTTATGCCTGATGAACAGGCCATCTCCTTAGTTATTATGACTGAGAGGAGAGGGAAGTTCCCTTGGCCAAAAATGATTTTCATCTGTGTCTCCAGAACCTTAAATTACTATTAATGGAGGCAGTATTTTAAGCCAATTTGCAAATGCAAATGTGTTCACAGCATGTGAAATATGTCAAACACTGCCTGGTCTCTTTTTTGACCTAAGGATGTTTCTTTTCAAATGAGCTCTTAGTCTGTGGTGCCAAGAGGGTCTAACATTGGGATGAGGCACTTGGATAGGAATAAATGATGAGGAAGAGTTTCTGGACCAGAGAAGGGAAAGGCCAAGCAGGAAAGCAGAGAAGCTTTGCATTCCCCCCTCACCCCACCCCAGGGTTTCTCACTTTCACGAGGGGCTCAGGCAGAGCCGGGAGGCATCCTTGGACAGCTTCTTCTAGAGGAGAGAGGCTTGGAGCCCCCAGCATCAAGGTCAAGAGTGTCTGCAAGTTATCTGGTAAGTGGCACCTTCTATATCCTGCCTGTCCTGTCTCTTAGCTCATGAAAACAGTGAAAGGATCTGGCAGGAGAGACACATTTTTGTAATGTCTCACCTTCCAGGTAGCCACTCTGGGAATCCAGCCCAGTGGTCAAAGGTTTTAAGCATGTTCTCTGCACCCGTTCCCTTGCCAGCCATCAGCACAACACCACCTCTGTCCCAGATATAGCTGCATTCCCCTCCACTCCTCAGGGATCCGAGAGAACATACCTGTCACAGACGCCCACCTGCTGCAGCTCCCGGAGACCAGACGCATACACACAACAGCATTCCTGAGGCACACAGGAGCAAGGTGCTAAGAACAAAGCCAAGGGAGCTTTCCTACACTCCCCCTGCCTCCAACACGCCGTAGAGAGACTGAGGGCTGTGGCTCAGATACAGAAAGGGGAACTGACTAAACAGAAACAACACCACCAACAGGGACAGTGTTCTTGCTTGCTTCCAGATAACTTCTGCTGGCAGGTGGGCATTTCCACTGATGAGAATGACTACAAATGCGCCCTGGGAGAGGGAGTGTAAAGCCCTGAGGAAACCCCCCAATACAGCCTCATCTACAAACATGACAAAGACACCTTCTCGTATGGACTGCCAGAGATGTGGGGGCACAGCCTTTGTAGCCCATAGGTAGAGACTGTGCTCAGTCCTGCAAAGGATTTTACCAGGCAGCCAGGTGGCAGGCCCTGAGGCTCTACAGAGCTCCACAGGGTTGCAGAAGACAGTCCCCAACCAGAGAGAGCAGAGAGACTAGGTGCTTTGCTCTTGCCCTCCCTTCAAACCATTCATTAAGTATCTCTCCACAGATCCTGCTAGAAGGAAATTAACATACACAACCCCCATTTTCAGATTATTCTAATCCACTCCTAGTTGTATGGATCTAGAACAACGGTTCTCAAACCTGTGAGCCGCAACCCCTTTGGGGGTCTCCTGCATACCAGATGTTTACATTACGCTTCATAACAGTAGCAAAATTACAATTATGAAGTAGCAACAAAAATAATTTTATGGTTGGGGGTCACCACAACATGAGGAACTGTATTAAAGGGTCACGGCATTAGGAAGGTCAAGAACCACTGATCTAGAATGTTGCTGTTACATTGGCCCACTGTGCCTGGAAGTGAGTGGTACTCTTGAATTTGGGGACAAGTCACAAGCAGAAGCAGGAAAGGTGTGTGAGTACCCAGGAGATTTCTCTGAACCTAGGGCATTAGCAGGGGCAAGCTTCAGAGGCATTAAGTCACACCTCAGGTGCACACTCCTGTTTCTGACCCGATCGTACACCCCAAAGCCCTCTGCTCAGCGTGGGGTACATCACGTGCCTCTGAGGTCTATAGCACTGAACTCAGAAGGAGAAAGGCCGCCCTTGCTGAGCACGCCCCCGCTCCCCTCTCGAGAAGGGCTAAGTCCTCAAGGCAGGAGAAAGGAAACGTGACAAAGTGAAAGTTGTTGGTGGCTAGTTGAGGAGGCTCAGCTAAACAAAGGCACCTGGTACGGGTGAGGGAGCCTGGGTGTGGAACCGGTGGTCTGAGATCCAGTCCTGGCTTGACCACTGGGCCCTGGGCAAGTTGCTGAACATTTGCAAGTTTCAGTCTTCTTGCCTCCAAAATGTGGCTTGTGATTTCCTGGTTGCATTATTGTATTGTGTGAAAAAACAAAGGAGCCCTTGCCTGTGAATCACCTGGCACAGCGCCCAGGGCGCAGCTCTTCAGTCCTCATTATTACTCTTCTATTTTCTTTTTAGACTTCAACCAATTCTCACTTTGACCTTCCCACAAAAATTTTCCTTCTGTCACTGAAGGAGGTCTGTAAACCCCTTTGCCTTCCATCCAGAGCCTCTCAAACCCACAGGTCGGGACCCTGACTCACAGATCATCAGGGAACTTCAGCCATTTTATGTTCAGACCCTGGAAACCTCATCCTTTGGGCAGATAGGTCTCACCTGGGGTTTTCCTCTGGATTTCACAGTTGCAATTTTTGCTTGCAATTTGTTCAAAAAGGTCCTTGGTTTTATTAATGTAACACAGGAAATTACCTATCAGAGCACAGGAGAATTAATACATAATCTAGTTAATTTTAAAGTTTCCTTCTTTTCCTGTGCTCAGCAATCAAAATATAAGATTGGCTAAATTCAAAGTCCAGCTAGCAAAATATTGGGAACAATCTTTCCCAAACTTCTGTCATTCTGGCTACTGGTACCACTTCATTTCCATGTATAATCTATACTATCATTTACATGGTATTTTTCTCTTAATTTACTTTAAGTAAATTTATTTTAAGAGGAATCTTCATTTCAATGCTAAAAATTTTAGAAAGCAGCATTATTAACCATAAATAAAAGATGAATGAAAGTAATGCATCATATGGGGCTTTCGAATCACAGAGATCTGTGTTGAAACCCTATTTCTAGTACTTAATACTTATGTATTCTTGGGGCAATTACTTAACCTCTCTGAACTTTGTTTTCCAGAAGTAATACTAAATATCTTACATGCGGCAGCAAAAAGCATTCCAATTTCTCAAAACCAGTTCTCACAAGCAATGATGTATATGCCTGACTTTAAGAAAGTGTGAAACAAACAGGCAAATTTACCAAGTATAATAAATCAGAGGTAAAATTGTAATAAAAGAATTTATGGCTTACAAAAAAAAAAATACTAAATATCTTCTTGTCATGATGATTAAATAAGATAGCCCAGGTCCTGGTGTACAGTAGTATTTTTTTCCTAAGTTTGTTTCATTGTTTTCCCCTTTCTACCCCTTCTCTCATCTACTTGTCCCAGTTCCTGCTTGGAGCTGCCTCCCGCAGTGCTGTAACCCAGGAGTAGGTTAAAGGAAGAGAAGGGAGATGGGTGGTGAACAGATAGCAGAAATAAGGATGATATGGGGAGTCATGGAATTCTCTTACTCTATGGCTTAGCTAGAATTGCCAGGCTATAAGGGACCTCAGAAGTCATCACTTCAGTCTTTCACTCAAGCAAGGACCCTTTCAATGTCTTGATAGAGGCACATCTAGCTTTTGCTTTCTTACTTGTCATGCTGGGAAACTCATTACCTGATGGAAGACTTCTAAGAAAAATGTCTTTTTTTTATAATAATCTCAGACTGCTACCCATTACTCCCCATCTAGTGGTCTCTGTGCTGTTTTCTAGAACTACCAGAATATATTCTTTAACCATTTTCCATAAACCCCTTCAAAAAGCTGAATGCAGATATTATAAATTTCCCTCATAAACTCTTAGAGTTCTCAACTGCTTCTCATGTGATTTTGTCTCCAGGATCCTAATCAGCTTGGTGGCCCTCCTACCAACCCCCTTCTCCCTGAATTAGTCAACATACCTCCTAGCAGAGACGGGTGGCAGAACAGAACAGGCAGTGACTTTCATTAATGACTCAATGATCAAACTGGCCTTTCAACAGCTGCAGGTGGTTGCAGACCATAATTTTTTTTTCACATATCAAGTCAGATTGCAACCCCCTCACTCCATCGTGTTTGTGTGCTGGGCCTGCGTTCAGCCAATCAAAATCACTCTGATCCCACACGTGTCATCAGGGCCAAAGCAGGAAGGAGGTAACAGTGATGACAGTCAACAGCATCAAATGCCGAAAGAAAGATGACAAAATGATGACCAATCTCCTGTGTTTTGTGAGGAGGAAGTTGCTGATAACATCAAAAAGCTGCTTTAATTGTGAGGCTGCTTCCTCCACTGCCTTGAAGAGGACTGTGAGAAAGAGGAGCCAGAGTAGGAGAGACTACCAGTTGCAGCTGGGGCTCTCAGAAAGGGATGACAGATACCATCCTGATGTCCTCATGTGTCCCCAAAAGATATTCCCCTGGGGACCACACAGTTAAGATTGACTCTGTGTGTCAAAGCTAGAAACCTGTGGGTATCTGCTAGCATCCAAATGCTTAGCCGAATTTTTTAATTTCAGCCATGCATTTGTTGCTACATGGAAATAGCCTCTTGTGGCCAGTGGTCAAGAGGCAGTCTATGATCATTCTGGGTGTAGTGGTGTTAGTTCCAACGTAAACTAAAGTGGTTTCCAGAAATAATTATAGCAGCATTATTTATTGAAATGTTTATTTGTGGTTTTTTCCTGAGCTTTCTTGATATAGAGATTTGTGCAGGAGGTGGGCGATGGGGAGTTGGAAGGGTTGGTGGAGCAGAAAAGACCCAAAGTCAAAGGCTCTTCTAGACGTTTGTGAAAGCCCACGGACGAGATGATATAAGTGTCCTATGGGGTGAGAAGAGAAGGAGACAGTGCTTTTGAGATGTGAGAGGATGGGAGGGCAGGGGATGAATGTGTGGGTCCTATAGTGGTGGGAACTAAAGCACCTCTCCATTAGTGCTCCTGCATGAGCAGTAATCTTGGGGGTCATGGCTTATACCAGAGAGACCATGTCCTTGGCTCAGGAATGAGCATAGATATTCTCATTCCCCATGGTAGCATGTGGGCAAGGAGATGCCACTGTGGGCTCAGGTAGTAAGCATGCCAATGGCAATCAGGACAGACTAGGGACCTGTGGTCCAGGCACCAGATGAATTTTTTGAGTTCTATTTGGGCTGCAGAAAAGGAAGGGGACCCCTGAATGACCAAGATGGAATCTCTTGTCCAATTTGAAGAAAGAAGGTGCAGAGGTGGGATTAGGTTGGTTGAGTTGAAGGAACTATGCAAAGTTGGTTGGACCCATAGACAGAAATTCATATCCTATGCATGATATGACCTATGAAAGGGGGACTGAGATTCCACTGTAAGCACAATTCCTGAATTTTTCTTAATTTAGAAGTGATACATCTCAGGGCTGGGTTGGCTTTTTTTCCTAGCCTGCGACACATTTGCTAATAAAAGGGTTGTTAGCCACAGCTCCCAGGACTTGACACTTGCCTTTTAGTGAAACCCTGGTGGTCCACCATTCCTTGATATCACCTGAGAGAGAGCATAAGACATTTGTGATGAATTTTTCTTTTTACTACTGCTGTAAAACTGTGTTTTAGAAAATTTAAAGCTTAAAAACACACTAACCCTTAGGAGAATAAAAAGATAAGCCACAGACTGGGAGAAAATATTTGCAAAAGATTTATCTGATAAAAGACTGGTATCCAAAGTATACGAAGAACTCTTAAAACTCAAAGATTAAAAAACAATACAAAACTTAAAAACCTCATTTTAAAAAGTACAAAAGATCTGAACATGTACTTCCCCAAAGAAGGTATACAGATGGCAAATAAGCGAATGAAAAGATAGCATGATTTGCCATTAGAGAACTGCAAATTAAAACAACAATGAGATCCTGCTACACATTTATTAGAGTGGCTAAAATGCAAAAT